GGTTGGCTGCCTTCAGACTAACCTCAAACCAGTTTTTCTGTCTCAGAGAAAAACTGCTCCATTGTCTTTGCAAGACTATAATCTTTTGGAAGCAGATCATTAAGATTGTCTTCCAGGGTGGGTGTGCTTGAACTGCCAACTTTTCGGCTAATAGTTGAGTGTTTAACCATTTATGTCACTCAGGTAGATAAAAGCAAAAACCAAACGCAGACGGACACATCTTTCTCCCACAGAGCAGCTGGTGGGGTCAAACCACTGACCTTTCAGCTACCAGTTGGGTGTTGTGACCATTGAGCCACCAGGGGTCCTTCCCAGGTAGATGGTGGTGGTGTTAGGTGTTGTTGCGTCAGCTCTGACTCATAGCAACCCTACACACAAAACAACAAACACTGCCCGGTCCATTGCCATCCTCACAATTGTTATGTTTGAGCCCACTGTGGCTACCACTGTGTCGTTTCATCTCATTGGGGGGTCTTCCTCTTTTTCACTAACCCTCTGCTTTGCCAAGCATGAATGTCCCAAGTAGATTTGAATTCATTCTGTGTTACCAATTTTTCAATTTTAATTTCAACTTTAGAAATAATCTAATCCATGATATGGGAAACTATAGTCCACAGACCACATCCGGCCTGCCATCTGTCTTTGTAAATTACATTTTATTGGAATACAGCCACACCTAGTTTTCACATGTTATCTACAGCTACTTTTCGAGTAAAACAGCAGAAATGAGTAGTTATGGTACAGACTTCTATGAAAAATCTGCTATCTGGCAATTTACAAGTTTTCCAACTCCTAATGGAGTCCTGGTGTGGCACTGTAGGATACCCACAAGGTCAGTGGTTCAAACCCACCAGTCACTCCTTGGAAACTCCATAGAGGGTCATTATGAGTTGGGACACACTTGACAGCATTTAATGACAACAATAACAATGTAGTGCAACTCCTTCCTTCAGATCCTTCCTTCAGACGAGAACTGGCTGGTAAAGGTGTCACCTCTGGACAGCCACACAGTCAGGCCCAGCCCAAGGTCCCCTGCCCCATGACAGCATGAAAGCAGCCCACGGGAAGGGACAACCAACCCCAGTGGGCAGAATTCTTTTGCCAATGGCCTTTCGTCATGACCTCATCTTAAATATAAACAAGTAACGGCATCCCAAACCTAGGGGGTAAATCTTCAGGGAAGGAGGTGGGAGACAAGCACAAAAGGGTTCCTAAGCCTCCAATTTCAGTTATTTAAAGGGACTTGGTGTGTCATTCTGTGCCCCCTACATTTAGAGTAATGACACAGTCTAACTCCCTTAGCTCAGCTCCTTGATTGCCACCTGAAATAAACAGTCGAAGGAGCTGCCACCTCAGGCAGCAAGAGGCAAGGGAGAAGAGACACAAGAGAAATGACAGGAAGGGAAACCTAAACAGAGGGTGGCTGTAGGGGGATGGAAAGTTCTGGACTTCGAGGAAGAGGATCAAGAGTGCTACCTGACCTCGGTGACCTTTGCTGATTAACCTCTCTGACCCTTACTGTCCATTTGTGTCCAGTGGGCTTGATGATACACATATCACAAAATCTCTGTGCAGAGGAAATGATGTTCAAGGTCAGTCAAAAAGTATAGCTACAACATCACAGAAACCTTTATTACGCAAAAAAACAAAATGGGAAGCCACTGTTTGTAGACATCTCCTCCATGGAGCTCTATTACATTTCTGAAGATGTCGTTTCCATCTCAAACTCTTCCCAGAAGAATTCTATGTTGTCTGGTTTATATCACTTCAAAATGGCAGCTTGGCATCTTTGAGGGATTTAAATCATGTTCCTTCTAGAAGATCTTTAAGTTTTAGAAACAAAAAGAAGCCTGAAGGGGCAAGATCAGGACTGATGGGTTATGGGTTCCTAATGAAATTCTCTTGCTACCCTCAAAGAATGAATAGGTGTATTGTTACTGCTGTAAACGCCATTGAGCGGGCTCCAACTCATCGCAAAATCCTGTGTAGGGTTTCCAAGGAGCAGCTGGTGAGTTTGAACTGCTGACCTTGCAATTCAAACTGACCTTGTGATCTAGTGCTCATCCTACAGCACCACACCAGGACTCCATAAGTGTGTCATAATGAAGAAGAAGAAAAAAATTCCTCAATGGAACTTCCTGGCCTTTTTCTCACCTATGCAATTTTCTTGAAACTAATTTTGAAAACAAAAGAAATAACCTTCTGGGCTGCCCTCTCAGCCTTGAATTTAAGTGGCCAGGCAGGTCCCCTTGGAAGCTGCTATTTTGATTTGCCTTTTGGGGGGGGGGGAGGGGAAGGCACCCTACAAGACTAAGGTAAGTACTGAGAGAACTCAGAGAACTTATCTGCAGCCATCCACTGACTGCAGAGATGTTGTTTAAACACATCTTGTTTGGAACAAGCCTGTGCAGGTACGAATTGGAACCGTAGCAGTAATATTTTCTGACTTACCCCTGCATACCTAGATTCCCAGTACCAGCTCTGGGTACTCTGCAGGGCACTTCTCCTTTAGTAAGCATTTCTTTATTAACTCTTTTCATAGTTGTTGGACTTAGTCATTGCCCCAAAGACCCAGCAAAAGTCTCTTCACTTTTGATCTGAGAGGTGACAGGCCCTGCCCAAGGGGATGCAAATGTACCACTAGCCACCACCCAACTGAGAATTCAACTATTCTGAAGACAGATCTGGAGAGTGTGCAGGGCATAGGTATGAACTAAGCTACTAAAACACCAGCACAGAGCGTTTTATGGTTTCAATACATTCAAAACCCTCCTTAACCCTTCAATAAAACACCTGGCAGGTTTGCATAGTGTTACTGCAAAATTAACTGAGCGGCTTCAGGTGGGGCCACAGCCAGGCCAGAGTGACCGCTTTCCAGACAAAAGGATGATAGGGTTGGTCTAGGGCAACGGATGCCACAGTGAGTATGGCCAAAGCCTGTCGAGCCTCTCACAGCCTGTAACTGGTGCTGAGTCACAAATTACAAGCCACAAGGTCGGCAGTTCAAACCCACCAGCAGCACCTCGGAAACCCTATACAGGGTCGGAACAGGTTCAACAGCAAAACCAACAAGACAGATGTGGGGAGGAGATACAGGGAGACAGAGATGGGGAAGAGAGAGTCCCATAAGGAGAGGGTGACATAGGAGGAGAGAAGGGGATGGAAAGACAGGTTCGGGAATGTGGAGAGAAGAGATGTACTATGTGTTGGCAAGTATAAGCCTGCTGGAATACTCCAACAACTCATCTGGGCAGCATCAACTTCCCTGACACCCACAAATAGGCCCGTGAGATTCCAAAGCAAGTTTAGTCTTGAAAAAGAAATCCCACCTCCTATTTGCAAACACTGCCCTAGCCTTGTTTGAAAGGCAGACCAGTAGCAAGCAGATTTGGCTCCAGAGCCCTCCCTCCATGACACATGCTAGGCATGTCTCCTAGAATTATTTCCAATCTCGCTCTCCAGGCAGGGTGGGACAGGGGTGAGCACACAATCCTCTTTAGTTTAAGTCACTCTGAAAGAGATGTACGTGGTCACCAACACATTTAGCTATTTTTCAGAACACAACCGGAATGAATCAAACCCTCAGGGGCATAGCCAGAAAGTGCAGCGGGGAAGGGCAATAAGAACCATTAAATGCAGGGATGCTGGGCTGAGAAGCTGGCTTCTCTTTGCTGCATGGTTTCCCATCCATGTAGACATTGGTGAACATTAGAGACAGGAAGGTCTCCATTTTGAGGCTAAATAAAGATCATGGCCCTCATCCCAGACAGTCAGCACCTAGACAGACACATCTGAGGTCACAGCTGCCCATTGCCTTGGGCAAACAAGTTGAAAGCACAGAACCTGCAGACCAGCCTGGGAGCGGCTGAGACTTTGTACCACCCATGGCAAGCAGGATGGCCACCAAGAGGTGAGCTCAGAACAGGAGCAGAGTCTTGTGAGGTCAGCCCAGCAGCACTCGGCCACATCAGTCCTTCAGCAGGGAGGATACACACTTGTGTGCAGAGAGAGACAGCACCCCCATGGGCTCCCAGGACAACAGCCCCAACTACACAAAGTGGAGAATCCCTGTAAGCCTCCTTTAGCTGGGTGCCCTTGAGGGGACCCCAACTCATGGCAACCCCATGTGTCGGAGTAGAACTGTGCTCCATAAGGTTTTCATTGGTTGGTTTCTCAGAATTAGATGGCTAGGTCTTTCTTCTGAGGAATCTCTGGGTGGACTGAAAACCCCCCCTTTCTGTTAGCAGACCCATACCAGGTAAGATTAGCACATAAAAGTCAAAAAGGGACAGCACCCCACAGGCTGCCCAGTTTGAACCCCGGGGCAACAGAGCCCTCTGGGAAAGTGCCTCTTTGGAAGAACCCCCACAGTTTGTCTCACCAGTGAGAGGCTGAATTAGGCACAGCACCCAGAGTTACCGATGCTGTCTGTCTGGCACACGTACTCCCACTGTCTCCTGACTGATTTCGGCCTCTCCGCGAGGTTCCCTGGCTGTTTCGGAGCGCAGCACAGGGGATAAATTCACCACTGTCTCTCAGACATTCGAGTTGGAGAATGCTGACAGGTTCACAGCAGCATCTTTCCCATGTCTCTCTGGGCATTTGACAGGGGAGAGGTTCCGCAGCAGAGGGCCCAAGGGGCTCATCTCTCAGTGCATTTTCCAGAAAGACACAAGATGAAGTCCCTCACCGATTCAGGGTCACCAGCGGCTTCTGTGGGAGCTCCTGCCACATCTAAGTCATAGCCCACACCCCTCCCCAGTCGCTACCACTGTTAGCTCCCAGCCCAGCCCCAGGTGACCAGCAAATGCCAATAAAACTGCACGAAAAGGCCACTCTGTCTGCTCCTGCTGGCACGTGGGAAAAATGCCGACCACAAGCTGGACTCTTCCATTCCCAGCTTCTACCCAAGTTCACTTACAGCTTCTTGGCCAAGTTCAAGTTTCTAAATACACAACTGCAGCAAAGGCGGGGTCCATGGATCTGCTTGAAGTGCTTACCTTGCCAAACTGCTCGAAATATTGCTTTACGTCTTCCACTACTGTGTTTGCAGATAATCCGCCTACAAATATTTTCTTTGTTCTTGTGACCATCTGCAAAAAACGATGAGAGGAGGGCACGGGTTAACCAAGTTATCTGAAACCGCACTTAATACGATGCCCAAAGCTGCCACTTTCCATATCTCCCCAAGAATGCAATTTTAATTCTAGTCAAGCTGTGTGGAGTGGGCCCTTAGGAGACAGTCACTCTGGAAATCCTCGGCATTCAAGCTGTAACCTAAGAGCTTGCACACAGACTTGTCCAGAGCCTGCTCCTCCGTAACACACAGCCTCGAAACAATCCATATGCATAAAGAAAAAGAAAAGTCACATGTCAAAACGATTTTAAACCTAAGAAATCTGAACAAAACAGAACAAATGCATAAAAATCTGCTGCCCAAAAAGAGATCCACAAATTAGTCAAGTGCAGCCCAATTCAAAATAGCCAAAAGATAGGGACAACCCAAGTGTCCATCAACAGATGAATGGATAAACAAAATGTGGTATATCCATACAGCGGAACATTACTCAGCCACGAAGAGAAAGAAATCCTAAGACATGGTACAATTTGAATGAACCTTGAAGAAGTTATGCTGAAAGAAATAAGTCAGATACAAAAGGACAAATACTGTAAGAACCTGGCATGGTGCTTACAGGTTAATGTGCTGGACTGCAAGGTCAGTTTGAACTGCAAGGTTAGCGGTTCAAGCTCTCTAGCTGCTCTTTGGAAACCCTATACAGCGTCACTATAATTCAAGACCGACTTGATGGCGCTTTTAACAACAACAATATGAAACATCTAGAATAGGCACATACATATAGACCAAAAGTTTATTCATGGCTACCAGGGGTGAGTGAGAAGGAGAAAGCAAGAGACGCCATGAACTTGGGTTAAAGGTGATGGAAAATTTGGAGAAAGATAAGCATGCTGTTTTGACAGCAGCCTGAACATAATTACTGTCACTGAACTGTACATGTGAGGACTGCTAAAATGTCAGGTGTTTTGCTACGTACACTGCCACCATAAATTTTTTTAAAAAGAAAATGGATAGCCATGATGTTTGTACAATATAATGGATTATATGCTGAAAATGGTTAACCTGGCAATGACTTTATTTTATAAGCTTTACTAAAATGTTTTTCAATTTTGCCAATAAGAAACTCACAAGTGATTCTAAAAACATGGATGGATTGTCTACGTTGGGCCAAGTGAGATTCTAGGTGCTCACAGCAGGCCTTACACCCACTGACCACCCTTCAGGCTTTGTTCCCAGTACCCCTCTTTCTTGTGATTCAGCCCACACTTTAGTCAAGCTGCTCAGCTAATCCCCAGACCTCCACATCTTTGTTCACCCAGCCCCTGCCCCCCTCCTTAGAATGCCTCTCTGCATTCTTAAATTGCCCCCAGACAAGTTGTAACCATCCTCCAAGTTCCAACTCAAATACTACCTTCTGTAAACTTCAAAACATCAACACAGCCTCTCCCGCCAGAAACGATCACTCCCCTCTTCTGAACCCCCACAACATTGCGCCCACACCCTTGACACGGCACATACGCTCTCCAACTGTGTGAAAATCACTGATAAACACGCTTCTCTATTCCCCCAGGTGCCCTCAGCAATGCCAAGTGCAGTGGCAGGCGCAGAGGAAACCACCGCAAATGTTTGCTAGCTGCATAAATGAATGAATGTGACCACATTTAGATTCCTACCACTTTCAAAGCAAACGGAGAAGGAAGTTCATTGATATAAACTATTCAGAGCCGAGACCAAAACTCTTACACAGAGGAGCCAAAAACTAAACACGGAACTAAACCTTAGTCCGATGATAGAGTGTAAACAGTGTTGCTCGTTGCAGCTTTAACAAAAAAATTTTTAATTAAAAAATTCAGTATATATAAGATCTCACCAGTTTGAAAAACCAGTTGCCGTTGAGCCAACTGCGATCCTGGTGCTCCCATGTGCGCAGAATAAAACTGCTCCACAGGGTTTCCAGTAGCTGATTTTTCAGAAGCAGACCTCCATACTTTTATTTCAAGTCACCTCTAGGTAGACTCAAACCGCCAACCTTTCGGTTAGTAGCCAAGTGCTTCACTCTTTGTACCATCCAGGAACGTTCTAACCTGTTAAGTTGCATATAGTAAACACATGGTGTCACATATGCCAATTATAACTCAACATGGACAGGGGTCATTGTTGCTTGGACCACCTCTTCTTCCAGGTTCCTGACACATCTGTTGAATGAATGAAAAAACCAACTCAAATCTGAACAGGACAGGAAGGCTGAGCTGAGCAATGTGGGGGCACCACAGCTCCTAGGCTTCTGGGCAGGACTTACACCTCTCCATGGCCAAGGCTGGACCAGAGTAACTAGCCCGCACTACCCCCGAGCTTTGATGAATCGGCGAGTGTTTGCCATGGGGGTGGGAAGCTCCCAGACTTCAGGGAGCTCATAGGTTAGCTTAACAGCTCCCAGTGGGGACATGTGCCACTGAGTGACTAGTGTACCCCACACTAGAATGTCCCTGTTTGGACATCCTGTATTGCTTGAAAAGGGCAGTGTCCTAGCGACTCTACCTAACGCCTGTTGCCTACTTCCTGTTTCCTATGAAAGTCATGCCATGGTTTACATATGTGTTTAGAGCTGTGATTTTGCCATCTCTTCTCAGATGATGGGAGATTAGATGGCATAATAATCTATGTGAGGACACTGTGAAGATCACACCACACCACTAAGTTCTAGGAACCACCCATTAGCTTTTTTCTTATGAGTTGTCATTGAATCTATTCAATTTATGGCAGAGTCCCTGGGTGGTAAAAATACGTAACAGGCTCATCTGCCAACTGAAAGACTGGAGATTCAAGCCCACCCTGAAACATCACAGAAGAAAGACCAGGTAATCTACTTCCAAAAAACCAGCCTGTGAAAACCCAATGGGGCACAGGTCTACTCAGCACAGAGTTGGATTGCTACCTCCTTAGCTAATGGGCATCTTATTCTTCCTCTCCATCCTGTAAGTCTTCCTGTGGATCAAGGTCACCTTCATGAGCAACTCCATCAAGTCTTCTCGCTCCAGATTTAAATCTCTCCCTACATTCTCACTAATGGGCAAATTTTACTAGCCTGGTGTAGCACTGTAGGAAAAGCACTGGACCATTAGGTCAATTTGAACAAAAAGGTTGGCAGTTCCAACTCATCAGTAGCTCCTCGGAAACCCTACACAGGGTCGCTGCAAGTCAGAACTGACTCGACAGCACTTAACAACAACAACAACCTTTCTATTTATCTAGTCATTCAATAGATAAATTCAGTGCTAATAAAATTCAGTCTAATAAAATGTGGCATTTAATCCACTATAAAACAGATATAATTAGCTTACCTCCCATTGCCATAAGGCCATTTCAACTCATAGCGACCCTATAGGAAGAGAAGAATTGCCCCAGAGGGTTTCCAAGGCTGTAAATCTTTACAGAAGCAGACTGACACATCTTTCTCCTTCAGAGAAGTTGGTGGGTTGGAACTGCCGGTCTTTCAGTTAGCAGCCAAGCACTTAACCACTGTGCCACTAGAGCCCTTTAGCTTACCACACAAGGTTCTGATTAGGACAAAATTAAAACACACATACTAAAGTATATAGCAGGGCACCAGGTAGGTGCTAAATACACATTTACAGTAAATGAATCAAAAGTAAGTTACTAAATCCATCCTTCAAGTTCAGAATAAATGTGTAGCAACAAGACACTTTATACAAAATGCTTTGATAAATCAACTCTTACTGCCCCATTCTCTTCTACCAGAATTTCAAAAGCACTTTACTGCAATTCTTCATGATTTCAGATTGGCAAAGACTCCCAATAGTGTAATTTTAGATTTTTCATTCGTTCTCTAACCCTAGCCAAGTCATTAAATATCTGCAAAGCAACACAAATGTGATCTACGAGAGTGAGCGAGTGGAGTTCTCAACTTAAAGCAACTCTGGATGGGCATTCTACAGAACAAATCCCACCATCTCATTTACATGCTAGCTAGCGTCAGGTGGGTACAGAGAAAGCCTTGTCTATATCTTCAGTGTTCGCATGGACTCAGAAATTACAACGACCAGCGTGTCTTCACTGCAAATAACAAAAGTCAACAGAATGTTCATTCCCCAGTCACTTGTTAAATGAAAAGGTCTCCTCTAACACCCTTTACCCACAACACTCACCATATAGTCATAAAACTACCTACTCTAAGTCCCAAACACAGTGGCAGACACCCAGCCATAAATCTACATAGTTCCAAGAAAGTCTTTGAAAGTTTTTAAAGAAGGATGAGAAATTCCAGATCCCAGATAATGTGTCAAAGTGTCTATGTTACTAAAACATCCTCCCCAGGAACCAGCTCAGATCCAGTGAGTAATCCTATTCTCCAGCAAACACTAAAAGGAGACTGGTTTAACCAAAGCCTTCCAGACATGAAAAGGCCAGTGGGAAGACATGTTAACACTTGGTTAGCTATTCACTGACATGTCCACTTGGGAAAGTGGAACACAGCCAAGGGCAGGGGGCTCTGCACGGTGACCCTTCCCCAGCAGGGGCATGTTGCTGGAAATGGGAGTCACTGCTGTGGCTTGCTCAATGGTTTGCATTCTGGTGAGGAAGGTGGAAAGCAAAGGACCCTAGAATCACACATTCTTCTCTTCATTTTCTTTCCATCCCCATGGCGACTAAGAAGGGTCAGGAGGCTGGGCAATGATGTCCATTCTTTCAGTGGGAGTGACTGAAGGTCCCTAAATTACTAACAACACTATGCAAGGTGCTTGTCTGTGTTTGGGATAACTAGATTCCCATTCCTTGCAGTCTTGACTTCCGTCTGTCCCAAGAAGCATCCAGTACTCCAGAACTTTAACATTCTTCTTTTACCTTCGAAAAAGGGACTCAGACAAGTCATTGCTGCCCCCCTGGGCCTTACAGTCCTTTGTATTGTATATATTAAAAAAAAAAAAGAAAGAAAAAAAGAAAGAAAAGGAACTCAAGAGCAACTGTTGCATATCCCACAGGCATCACACTACAAAT